CCTGATAAGAGGTGAATTGACTGAATTGTGAAAATACAAATTTATACGTATTATTGTGTAACTTGTAACACAACATATCTTGTCACTCATGAAAAGTAAATGGTTTCATTGGTCACTATGTTGCTACTTTCAGGATTCAGTACACTGAGTACACAGAACAGATTGACGGCCTTGGTAAATATGTACATAAAGAAACAAAAGAGAAGAAGAGAGAAAAAGAAAAAACATGCAACACAAAAGCTGCTCCAGGTGTGGTTATATTGCGTGTCTAGCTATTGAAAACCTTTGAAAACCTTGAATATTTGTTGTTGATATACATACACAGAAAAAAAAAGCCGTCCCTGGTAGACTAGTGGTTAAGGCGCAGCGCTCTCGCTGCTGCAACCCCGGGTTTGAATCAGGGTTGCATCAGGAAGGGCATCCAGCATAAAACACGTGCCACATGTCAAGATGCGAGTCGTCAGTGTGACGATTCGCTGTGGTGACCCCTAAACGAGAAAAGCCGACTCTCTTTCTTTCACATACACAAAAAAAAAAACCTCTGCAAATTCCACACAGTATGAGAGGAGTGAACACCGACACTTTCAGGAGTGGTCAGAGCAGGGAAGGACATGCTCATGGGGAGAAAACTGTTTAAACCTCCCAGGAAACCACACACACACACACACACACACACACATCCTTGTTCACTTACCATGTCCCTACATAGACTTACATTAATTTCCATTAGACTACCCTAACCTTAACCAAAGCTGACACTTGCTCTAACCTTACACCCCATCATTTTCATAAAATCTGACAAATTAGTTATGGGGCCAGTGCCCACAAATGACTTCCGGTATATATAAACAATCCCCCCTACTTACAATCCTACTTCATACCTTTTGTCATAATTTGTCATCTTGCTTTCTGGATTTTTACAGAACTTCACCCAAGAGAGTTAAAAACAAACAAACAAACATTTATGCACCTTTAGCAACTTTGCCAAGAGTTAATACCAAATAACACCTGCAGATAAGAACTGGTGTGACTACTGCAGGTATTTAAGGGCAGTGGGCTGGACATACCATGGACATGTACGATAGAGCACAAATAGTGAGGACATCCTCAGACCACCGATAAAAAGTGGAGAAGAACTATTAAGCAACCTTGGCTATTATATTGCTGGCTTTAATACGAGGCAGGCTCCATCACCGCTGATGTATTTGTGATGATAACTTACTAATCAAAATGAAAGCTTAGCAGTGTCTTTTGTGCCATTTATATTACAGTAAATAACAAGCACAGTTCTGTTCCTCCGCTGGTGTGCTCTCTGGTGCTGTGGAGATCCTGCCCTCTATCAACCCTGCTGTAGCCGGGGGCACTGTGACTGTCTCTGTCTCCTCTGACGACTCTCAGGAGTGAAAGCTGGGCAGTGGGTGGGTCCCGGGTCATCACCTGGCTGGGGAACCAGCAAGCAGTCATCCACAGTTACAGTGGCAGAGCTTCAGTTGGCGTCCTCCCCTCTCCCTCTGGGCTCCATCACAGAGCAGTGACGCCCCCCCCCCGAGCTTAACACCAACGCCTCCATCATTGTTCTGTGTGAGACTAAACAGATGGCTGGCATTCATGGTTGGGAGTAAATTATTTCAGTAGTTCCTCCATGAAAAGCTCTATAACCTCTCTAAATCCCTGCTTTAGAAACCATCCCATAGCAAGCGGTCCAAGTGTTATTTAAGATGAGAGTTGGATTATCTAAAGTAAGAACTGAAATGTATGCAGCACCATCCTCTCTGTCTTTGTCAGGTTTGCTCGGCCGCTCTGGCCTCCCTCACCTTTCCTACTGTCTCTTGCCCATTAACACTAATCACGTTCACCTGTTCCTCACTCCCTTATCACCAGCTGCACTTGATTAGGTTACTCACTATATTACCCGGTTTCACTCCTCAGTCACTTGCCAGTTCGTTCTAGTCACTAGGCCAACTTTACTCTGTGCGTTTTCATTGTTTTGTATGTCGTTATCCCATAGCCAGCTACTGTTTTGTGTTTCCCCGAAGGACTGTTCCTCCGGACCGTGGCTCCACTCTCCCCTCCCAGGCAGGTCAATGCACAGTCGCCTATCTGTTCTACTATTGCCTTCATCTTTCTGTCTCTCCCTTCAGTAGCCACCATCACCACCGACCAGCCCAGGAGTGACCCAGCCTACGCAGCTCGGCCCAGCTCTCCATCTCCTCGCCTCCTACTGTTGGTCAAACACCCGGCTACTACTCATCGACAGGACTACGCACTATTTCCCTCTGTGTATTGTTACTCTCATCATCACTGTACATAATAAATCACTGCTTGCATCGAAGTCGGCTACCTGGGTCCACCTCTTTCTCGTTCGCACACTGACTGGTGCGAACGGTACCTAACAGTCTTATTGAGCTGTCAAATCATGTCACTTGATAAATGTTTCTGTTTAAGTGACATTTCAGAAAAGCAGTATCTTTCCTGAGTATGATATTTTGGCAGTTATTCCACAATTATTATAATTTACTTATATTTTTTTAATGATTCATTTTTTTCAAGGACATTTCAGCAGGTGAATACTTTCTGTCACAATGACCCCTTATTCACCATGTATCTCCTGCATTATGTTTAACCTTATTACTAGGTTTCAGTTGTTGAGTAAATACTATGAGGTCATCTCTGTGTGGGTAGTATGTATATGGTAATATTATTTTATCCCAAATAAACCTGTTTCCTAAAAAATATAACTGGTTCGAAGAAGATTTCCCCGCTTGAAATATGCAGTTTCTGATGATGTCACAGAAACAATGATATAGTTTTATTTTTATTTGCCATATTTGACTAAGATGAGTAAATTAAAACCATGTAGACAAAAATGTACAGTCAACAAAGAAGGCCATTTTAGAAGTACACAGAAAATGGAATAAAATAAGGGCCATAAACAGAGATGGTGCAGCAGGTCAAGCATATGGTACATAAGCAAATAAAGAGACAAAATGCCCAAACAAGACCATAGATCTCAAAAACAAAAATGAAACTAATGGAACCATAAAAAGAAACTGTGGAGAGTAGTAGTCTCATATAGTTTAAGAGCTTTTTACAGCTCTTTGAAATGAACAAGGGCAGTTAGAAACATATGGGAGAGGACAAGACAAATGTGCTGACGATTTGTTTACAATGCCCTTTTTTCTGGAACCATTTCCTGGTCTACTAGAAAACAAGGATCCCAAAGCAATTTTCAGAAAGAGCATAATGGAATTCACATCTGTGCCCAGTGATATTCTGACTGACAAACAGCAAACTGTACTAGCTCACTGCTTACTGTAACTACATGCATGATTTGGTTTTGGTGCCCGTTTGTTTATGTGACAGTGTCCTCTGCTTAGTTTGGCTGGAAAGACTGTCACCTCTATCTTGTCCTTTTGTGTCACAGACTTGTTCTTTCGGTTTCACAGAGACTATATTTCTGTGTCCAACCTGTCTTTATGTCCTTATACAAAAACAAAATCTGCATTATGAGAATCAAAGTCAGTATGTTATCAAATGTACAACTTTATACAATCTATTAATGTAATTAATACCTTTATTAATGATTTCTAAGAGATTTTTCACAACCTGATCCAGTGGAGAAGCTCCATGGTAGAAGGTCAGACTGGTTGTACAGGCCAGCTACCCTGAATATGTTTAGAGTAATTATTTTGTTAACCAATTCCAATATTGTTGAGCCTGTCTCCTAAATAGTGTTTTGTAATTATGCTTCTGAACAGCTGTTTTGCCAAATACATTTTAAGGAAAGGGAACATATGAGGAATCACACTGGCATTCTGCCAGACTTTACATCTAGATTTAATCCAAAAAGATGGAACAACATTTTTTAATAACAATGGAGCTGAATGCAAGAAAAAAAAAACTAAAAACAATATATCCATGCAGTAATATACCTAACATGACTAATAATTTGCAGAAATTCAAGTTATTGTAATTGGTGGACATTAATGCAGTTTAAACAGCATTACTGATGACAAATACCTTTGGTTTTCACTTTGTATTTGTTGTGTCCATCAAATAAGGAGCACTTTAAGTGAACAGACTATGCTTTGCTGAGACACACACCTCAAACACAAAATCAGTGGCAGGTAGATTAACTGCACTACTTTCCTACCAAGCAATTTCATTTAATCCTGAACTAAAATGCCATTGCACAGACCCTAAATGTTGTACCATTAGGTCAACTTTTTTTTATTAGAGCTATTTTGAATTTTTTGTGGAATGTTTTATGGAAATCTTTATAAATGCTTTCCTACTTCCTTGAAATGCACAAGTTATGTGGGCCTATGGTTACAGTAAACAGAGAGAGGAGAAGAAACATCCAGTAGAACAAAGGGACAGACAGTGCAGTGTCCTCTATTAAATCCTGTCAGATCAATACCAAATAAGTCTAATAAGAAAACTGTCACAAAGAAAGACATTTACTGGTGTAGATGAGGAGTGACAAGTGTTAAAGCTATATTTAAAAGGTGTTTAATTCCAAAATGTGATCATTTTTATTTTTCCCTGGTTTTCAATGTTTATTCCCCCCTGCATTGCTGCAAAAAGTGCCATGTAAGTCCACTGTACATTTTGTACAATTTCAGCACTGTTTGTCGAGAGTACGTGATACCACTGAGTAGGTTTTTGCACATGTTGCACTTCCAAGTCATGCAGCACACTTACAAAATATCTACATGCCATCCTCTGTATAAAAGTTGCAGAACAGCAATAGAAGTTTACAGTAAATGGACACTCCTTGCGTGTGTACCACTAAATCTTCAAAGTGGACAAGGGCAAAACAAGGTGTGGCCAGGACAAGGTGTGGAAGGTGGCATGATGATAGTAGACTAGAGGAAAGCATTTCCATCAGGAGAACAGAAAGCTGGATTGACGTAGAGGAAATATTTGCTGATCAGAAGGCAGCTGTGACCATACAATACTGCCACATTTGAAAGGGTCGCAGGCTGAGTAAAGTCTATTTACCTGACAGAAACTTTTTAAACAAAAAGAACCTTAAAAGTAGAATGGCATCTCCAGTGGTCTTCTTCCTAATCCTGGCCACAATAGCCATTAAAACAGGTAAGTTGGAATTGTGTTTATTTTGAATTCATTCTCAGACAACAATGTGCTACTTTAATATATTTTAGTACTTTACCAATACTTGTGTGCGGACGATACCTACATTTCAAAGTAACTGAATTGTCTGTTTTGTGCACCCTTTTTCTAGGTCATGTGTGTAGCCAGACAAGTAGCCCGCCAGAGATACGTGCCTCTCAGAACCCCTTACCCGTGGGCAGCAATGTCACACTTTTTAGCACCCAACATGTCACTACAGGTGTATGGCTGTTCGAGGGCAGTGTCATTATGGTTATATACCCAGGAGGCTACATGATAATTGACAACTGGATGAACAGGACCACGTTCAATCCAACCACTTCATCATTGTCCATAATGTCACTAAATGTGCAAGACTCTGGAGTGTACTCGCTAACTACAGAGAATTCTATAAGTCACATAACACTGTCAGTCCAAGGTAAGGACCATTTTGCTGCTTTTCATATTTACTAATTTACTCATATAAATCTTCAAATTTTAGTCCTGTATTGGAAAACTTGTTAACCTTCAAAAAAAAAAAAAAAAAAAAAAAAAAAAAAAAAAAAAAAAAAAAAAAAAAAAAAAAAAAAAAAAAAAAAAAAAAGCAAATGAGCAAAGTGTTTGCACATCCCATAGTTTAATTCTTCTTCTTCTTTAGAGAAAAAAAATGAAAGAAAATGTCAGGTCCGCTTGGTGCGACCTGCCTCTTTCTTTTTTCCCTCTCCTGCTCCCTTTTTGTGGGATCAACGCCTCAGCTGTGTCGCATCGGGTAATTAGTGACTCTCTGTGCGTTTTGGCTTGACCTTATCACGCTAATTATGCGGTTAGCAACACAAATACGTGCTTTGTCTTCCACGCTGACAGTCTCTGTGATGTGGATTGCATTGTGTACGTTGGTTCTTTTTGTTCACCTGTCCGTTCTCATCCTTTGTTATCCTAGTTCCTGTCTTTAGTTTGTGTGTTTACCGTCCTGGTCTCCTTAGTCATCACTGCCCTTCCCTTGTTGTATGTATTATGGACCCTGTTTTGATGTCATGTTGTTTTTATTCCGTTAAACCACCTTTTTGTACTAGCACCTGGGTCAGACATCTTGAGTCCAACCCCAGTTCTCCCTCACCCTCCTGGTGAGGGGGACTAAACCATAACAGAAAAAAGAAAATAAGGAGAAGAAAAATACAAAAGAAATTAAGACAAGTTTAGTTAAACATTTTCATTCTTTAAGATTTAAGTGTGGTGGATAGGCTAAGTTATTTGTATATATCAGCACAGTCCTGTGAATATACAAATGTGTGAAGGAATCATGAAATCAAAACATAAACGAGGGGCAGGGTGGGGCTGAGAATAAAATAAACAAAAGGTGAAATAGAATAATGTCACTTTCAGCCTTTTCCCGTTAGGGGTCGCCACAGCGAATCATCACATTGACGATTCACATGCTGACATTTGGCACATGTTTTACACCAGATGCCCTTCCTGACACAACCCTTGAATAATTATCATTATTAATATGAAAAAGGAAAAATGAAAACAGTGGTACAGAAACCTACACTGCAACTGTATGAAAGTGGCGGTGAGTAATCAGAACCCATCTCCCCCCTCCCAGCAGCAAGGCTGAGGCAAGCAAGGGTAGACAGGTCAGGGTGGTTGGAGAGGACCAACAAAGTCTGTAGTCATTCTCCCTCATGGTCGTCGTAAACTTGCATCCAGCACCCTCCCGACCCCTGGGAGGTGCTAGGCACAGTTGACCCTTCACCGCTTACAGACCAGAATTGAGAAAGGCCAGTCCACAGTGGATTATAGTTCTTAAGTTATAGTGTATGAAGCTTTTGTCCTGGTCAGCCCTGATCAGTGCCACCCCAGGACTGCAAGCTTGCTGAATTCATGAAATACTGCCAGGAGTGGGACACCCATTGCCTACTTCTGTTTAAAAAGAGTAGAGGAAAGAACAGAATTGTCTGGGAGGCTGTGGCTGTTATGGTCACTGAATTAGTATTTTACTCGATGATGGCACTAGATTAACTGTTGAGTAATCAAAGTGATTACAGTTAATCCTCGGGGGAGATCAACACTTTTACCAAACCAATAGGTAATGCATCAAGTCATTGTTGATATATTTCAGTGTGGACTGAAGCGTGTAACTCTAGCCATGTCACTGGCAATGCTCATAAAGTCTTTGGGCTCGAATTAGATTTCAGCTGAAGTCATATGAGTCATGTCTCCACCTCTGCCTACTTGACAAGTGGCTTCTTTCTCTCTCTGCAGTGCCTATTTCAAATGTGACCATGACAGCAAAAGCAACCAACCTGGTGGAGTTCAATGACACAGCAGTTCTCATGTGCTCTGTGTCCACTGGCACGCCCCTGTCTTATACGTGGAGAAATGGCAGCTCTGCAGTCACAGCTGGTGGGGACGTACAGCTCAGCAATGGAAACGCTACTCTCACCCTAGTCAACGTGACCCGCTATGACACTGGGCCTTTCTACTGCTTTGTGTTCAATGGTGTCAGCAATGGAAGCAGTTCGTCTGTGAATCTGACCATCAGCTGTGAGTTTTAACTCACAAAAGATTATATATATTCCTATGTATTACAAAAAACTCCAATCCTACTATTAACCCTTTCAACGTTGTCTGTTTTGATGTATCATCAGATGGTCCGAGTAACCCAGCGATGATGGTCATGCCCATGACATCAAGGTACAGCTACCGCACAGGATCTAATATCACACTGTCATGCTCAGCGGACTCCAGCCCTTCAGCGATCATCAGCTGGATGTTGAATAATGTCTCCCTGAATCACATTGACCCACAGTTTCAACTACAGAATGCTACAAGGAACAATTCAGGAACTTACAAATGCCTATTTTACAACACAGTCACACTCAGGGTAAGCAGCGAAA